AACCCCGATTGCTACTAAAACTTCAGTACTGCTAAGTACTACAAATTGTCATGCTTAAAGCAACTTCTTTTTGAGTAATTCTATGTTTACAATGTTTTAAGTGAGTCTACAATATTTCCTGTGATTATGTGGTGGTTTCTCACCTATAATAAATACATTTTAACGTGATAAAATAACCTATTCTCTAATTTTGATATAACAAGGGTATTTTAAATATCAAGGGATGAAACAATGAGAGAAGTATTGCGTAGTAGTTGATCAGTCAAGCGTGACTTATTAAAACACCATTGTGATCAATAATGCATGTCTCCTTACATTATTCTATACAAAATGCGGATATATATATATATATATATATACAGAAATACCCAACATATTCTGCAGTGAAAATCTAAGCGAGTTAAGAGTTTTTAGCTCTCGACAGGATATTTCACACTTCAGTAGAAATGCAAAAACACGAAAAGATGGCGATAATAATGAACAAAAACAACAACATACAATCAGACAGTATATTATCGGATTAGACAATAAATCTAATTTCAAGATTATTTTCTTCGAAAATTTAGTAACGAAATAGTCAGAACTAATTACAAAAATGAAATTGAAATTCACTAAACAACTTTAGGATAAACAAATGGGTGAATATTAAGTTTATTTTGGAATTTAAAATGTTGATTTGCATGGATTTGATTAGTTACAGCTTTTGTAGCAAGCTAACATCCATTAGGGAACAGTCGGAAACAAGGAAGCATTAAATAGGGTGTTTATTCCCAGGTTTGGTATTTTTTCAGCAATACGCACCTATGACCCTACGAGGGATGAAACACACCACCTTTTAGATACAAGGCAAGCTCGTGGAGCATTCATCCATTGGGACGCGATCCAATGACCTACCTGTCCAGTTGTTCTCTAACTAATGTCAGGTCGAGAGTAAACTGAATTTTCATCTCCCACTGACTGATTTCCGCTAGACTGTTGACTCCCGATACAGATGTTTTAATGGTGTACGTTGGTGGCACAGTGGTTAGGACCCTCGCCGACCATGCACATGGTCCGGGGTTCGAGCCCACGCCGACGCATACTTGATATCTATGGTCAGCCTGCGAATTTTGGGCTACCGATATCCATGCTGAAAATTCCATACTTGTACCAAAAATACAGTGTGGAGTCAAGCTGTAATCAAAAATAAAAATTAAAAAAAATAATGGTATCATGATGGTAATGACGAACCTATATGTTTACCATTGAAGGTTCCTTACTATTAATACACACGTCGTTCAAATAAAAATCAATCAAAACAGCAAATTCAAAATAATTAAGCAATTAATTAACGTTACCTGCTGCATAACAGGTGACTCTTATGGCCCAGTGGCCTAAGGAATAATGTGTGTTCATGTTTGAGTTAGTGAGTGAAGGGTTGAAGTCTCAGTGGGATTTTAGAAACTGCTGGTACCTATGAAGTATAGTCACGTATCTGAATTCTCAAAGAGGTCTAAGCTCTTATTTTAAACCAAGAGGAACAGATTAGTACAAAGGTGGGAAGAAGATCAGTTCGATACGCTTAGCACAGATATTATTCAGTGACAAGAATAGCCAGCCACCAGACATTTTAAAATACAGACTTTATTAATACACACCAATTTGTATCAAATCACTTTTCGCATTCTTCGTGTCATTCTGAAGGAACCATGTGTTGCAAATGAAATTCTATAATGCACTAAAAAAGTATTTTTCATAATACAGAGTGACACACTCGGTTTTATTTGCAGATGATGTTTCAAACACAGTTTATTGCTCATGGTCATGTCAAAGCACGCGCATAACTTTCAGGTTTTGTTTCGATCGTTCTAACCTTATTCGTGGATTGTTATCAGTTAGGGGATCTTTAAAATCTAGGCCACATTGGAAAATTGTTTCAGCCTATTTTCGTACACTTCAGAAGTACTCACACATGACCACACTAGAGATCAAAACCAGCACCTTCAGACTATGAGGCGAACTTCTTAACCATTCAGCCACTGGAACGTAATCTAACAGTCCATTAATTCTAACTTCTGTCAACTCACGATATATATCGCAGCCTGCAGTCAAACGTATTGATGAGCATTTGTCCTTATACTCATTCTTTTAGATTTCCCTGGTCACTACTTCCCGCTAGCACTCCGGAAAACTTCAGATCACTACAAAAGTATACTTGAGGATTACACAGTTAGATTTTTTATCTTTGGTTCTATCAGCAATAGTATTTTTCATATCTTCGACGTTTGTGTTCCGTGAATTTCTTATGGCGCGTTTTTGGTGGAAGATCTGACGAATTCAGATCCAGTTATCAACACTTCTATCTATTTAAGTGTGTTACTTTATTGAACTGTAGACTCAAAAGATAATCTAGTTCTCAATAGAGACTGACAACATGCTGAAGATGCCTAAAGTCCTAATAAAAAGGCGTAACCAGAGAGATTGATGTTGTTGGATATGAAAAAGAATAATCGCCACTGATTTGTCCGACAGTTGCGCAATATATCGTTAATCGGCAGCCGCTAGAATCCATGGGACGTTGGATCCCTTCTCAGTAACCAGAAAGTGCTGGTTTCAATTTCTGTTGGAGTCATGGGTGAGTATTGATGAACTAGTACTCCTCTTTACTCAGTGGTTCTTTCAATGAGGTCATTTTCTGATCGAACTCGAAATCAGTAATCTATGTCGTTAAGGCCTCATGTCACCATTAATGATATCTACCTTATTGTGATCTCATTTCCCAAAGTGTTAAACTCCATTTTCTTTTAATTATGTGGTTTTGCTGCAGATATTTTGCATTTGTTCCCTCTTCTGTCTTCATTATATTATTCATAAGAAGGATTTAAAAAAGATAGTTTGTGTTATGCAATGGCTCCCTTAAAGCAAACAGTTAAGATGAAAGATATTTTATAAGATTTTCTTTTGTTCTTTTTACATTCCCACTAGAACACAGGGCTTGAAGCTGGAGGCTTTGGTGGCAGTGGTGTCTACTTTCACGGGATGGGGTTGGTAGCCTCATGCTAAACCTCAACTCTTTGCTGGCTTTACAACCGGCTTAGTTAGGTAAAGAGGTGCGTCGGTGGCCGGAGATCGGACTCCAAACCACCTGTGTGGTTGGCGCTCTGACACCGGCGCATCATTATATGAGATAAATTTTATAAAGTAGTAGAAATAATTATCAACTTTGCAACAATATAAAGGACATACTTCAGGTTTGAAAATAGTGGCATTCAGTAATCGCTTAGTTATATTCCATTAAAATCAACCGAGATAAATTAACAAATCCAGAGCAGTGACTACGAGGTTCGCCTGTTTGTTAGACTTTCACTAATACATGATAACATTGACAGAAATTTATTGAAAACTATCAGATATCGTTTGATTTGTGTGTCAGCCATCTTCTATGGAAGTTAGTAGTAACTTGAAAAGTATAAATGGTATAGTCTCTGACTTTCGAAATCAGGGTTTGCATCGAGAGAGAACATGCATTTATTGAGAGGTTTAAACACGCGAAAATGCGATTGGTATCTGTCTTATTCATTTCACAGCACACTGAAAGTCAGAAAGGTAAGTACAGCATGCTATAAAACAGTAAAATTCTACTCATATTAGTAACCATTTCCTCCAAGTGACCAGTTGCTTTAACATGAACAGAATCTTAGGAAAGTAACAGTAATTATGATGTTCAGAAGTTTAAAGGGAATAAAAGAAAGGCAACTGATGTTTACCTAAACTTGGTAGCATGTGTGTTTGTCCTGTCTTTTTCCACAGGCTCTTCTTTAATTTAACTATTTTGTCTGTTTATTAAACTGCTTCCTGCTCCAAGTGAAAAGTGACACTTCAAACGTTAATCTTTAAAGTTTCAAAAACTACGGTGGTGTTGTTAAGGGGTGCGTTTGTTCGTCTCCCTGTTAACTAGGCAACGTCTAGAAGTGTGTCAAACAAAAATGGGCTCCAGACTTCCCGCGTGACAGGTAAGCAAATATGAGTAGGCGTGAATATAAATAATATATGTGGTAGTATGTAATTCTATATTATTTTGTTTATTAGGTATACCATATGCAGAGTGAAACAGTATTATATACTTAGCGACGAAATTTCAAACACAATTTATCGTTCATGATGATATCAGTTATAACCGCTTAATTTCGAAACTTTGGTTTCAGAGTTTTCTAAATCCCTTTCTATTGATTGTATGGAGAGCAGATAGAGGTAGAAGATAGTTTTGTTGATTTAATACCCCGCAATGATTGTCAGGTCGAATACATAGGTCCAAGTAGTACAATGAGGTCAGTCTGACTGACCGAAAATAAAAACCTAGCAAAATCGAGATTAGGTGACCTGAATAAGATAAGAAATCTGGAGAATAGTTCAGCTATAGCACCCACCACATGCAATCACGCTCAGCCATACCACAGGATCGGATTAGAAGAAAGTTGTAAAATCCGATGTAACAGGATGGAGGGGAAGATTATTGACTGCAGGTGCATTTATCAAATTAACCACAAACACGTGTACAGCAATAATTCAACATCTGTCCACCCGGACATCTGGAAAATTCCACTACCAATACGACAAACAGGAAAGTCTTAAAAAAACTATAAAACTCAATTTTCGAAGTTGTGTGATTACAATTGATGGCACGATTATGAATAAGAATAAATTTTGTTTGAAATTTTTTCATCCAGTAAATAATACTGTTTCACTGTATGATATATCTAATAAACAAATTAACATGGATTAAGGATGAATATTTCATTCGTTCATAAATAAAAACAGAAATTTTAACATCCACTTGTACTTTAAACAGAAAACTATATCATTTACTGATCAGACGAAAACTGAGTAGTAAATCCTTCATAACTCTGACTTAATAACAACACGTAAAAAAAGTAAACGAATAAACAAATTAAGTATATCAAAATGCTATTACTTATGAGTAATATAATTTATCGAAATGTAACAATCAACTAGTTACTTACTCTTCATCAGAGTCCGTTTGATTCACTCCAGTTGAACTATTATCAGGATCTTTGTTAACTTCAATTTTTGGTAGATTTTGTATAATTTTCAAGATAATTTCATTTTCTTCCATATTTTTGTTACTTTCGTAAATCTTCTTTCGATGAAGTTTGTTTTCTCCAAATTAATTGACAGTATTTTTACTGTAAAAAGAAGAGTGGAATTTGAAAAATGATAAAATCAACATCTTTACTTCCTTGACAAATAAAATAAGAAATGCAGTGACATTTTGAGTAATCTGAAGGATGTTAACGAGCAGTGAAATCCAGGATGCTTATCTTGTCCTATTTGCTACCGGTTAGAAGGATGTACCTGCATTCTCCAGTGAGTGATTGTGTTCCCACAGTGATTGGAACCCGGTATTCATCGTTATGAACGCCAATTTGTAATTAACTAGGCTTCTTACAACACCAACGCCTGTGGATTAGTCATCAGATATCTTTTATTCCTAAGTCACTTTTGAAAAGTTAACTTTCGCTGAAAATTTCTGCCTAACCAGTCGACAGGAAAATCAAAATTGACTTGAAAATAAATACAAAGTGACATACTAATTACACATGATACAATACAAAGTGCATAAGAAGACAGTACTAACAGTACTCATTAAGTCATAGACAGAACACAGGATAATTCAGTGAGAAACGATTTTTATACTTATTGTTGAGACCATCTTCAAAGAATGTACTTTTGTCTATTTTTCGAATGATAAATATGTACAACACGACTAATACAGATAAACAGATAAGCTTTCTAAATATAGAAGGGAATTACATTACACCTAGTGTTAAAGGGATTAGCGGTTTGAAATCTTACTAGTTGGATATTATTATAAGTAGATGAGAAGCTAGGTGATAGAGTACACATATAAGAAGTATAGATGAGGTACGAACAATATGCTAATTAAGAAAGGTCAACTAGACTTGCGGCCTTGTTTTACCTGCTTAAACTAGAAGGAAGTTTAAGAACATGGTTCAAAACTTCTGGGCAAAGAGTTCGGCTTTGTGTTGTCATGCTTCTAACGCATCCGGTATGCACAAGTGTCGACAGCTAATAGCCCTAGTTCTAGTGCAATGTGAATTAGGAATTCTCTCGTTTTCATGGAGCTGAATATACTAGTCACTGAAGCACGCGCTTTACAAAGCCATCTGAAAACACTATCACTTATGTAGAGGATAATAAAGGTCAACCAGCTGCTGGCTTCTCAAGCATCTAAAGAATGTGGGTGAAGTAGCTCCTACAGTGTTCTACGACATAAGATAGGGCGGTATGAAGAATATTAGGTTTCAGTAACAGCAGCAGAATCCTGAACTCTGTATTGAGGAGTGGCTTGTAAGGTCCCTTAATTTACTGTGTTCTTAAGCTTTCTTCTAATTCCCTGCTACTATTTTTCGTAAGTCATTCAGTGTTATCAATCCTATATTTAACTAGTCAGTATTTTGTATTAGATTTCGGCATGTTACTTTCACTGTATCAATAATGCTACACATGCTTAATAGACTGTTCATTGCTGTCACTAGCCAGTCTTAACCTCTAGTGGAACCTAAATAGGAAGAAATGAATTGGGCGTAATTGGAAGCGTGACATTGAGAATATCATATGAGGAGAAACTGAAAGCTGATAGGCAGTCATTAAGTCGGCTGAATATGACTGCAGAGAACAAAGGGAAATGGGAATGTGCTGTTACAGCCATGCATTTCCCTGGCAAGCAGCTTACAAAATAATGATTTAATTATAAATAATACGTCAGGTCTTCTCATTTCACTAGACTGTTGGATTTTTTCATCAGCAAGGAAAACTCTTTAAAAATGTATTCTTTACTTCTATGAATTAATCAACATTATAAAAGTGTATAGTTTACTCACAACCACTGGGAATGATAATAATACATCTTGATACATACATAGCTTATTTAAAGTTTGACCACAGACTAATGTTAGTTAGGGAACCACTGACAACCATGGAGTACTTAACAGCTATTTTATCACTGTTTGAGTCTCTTCAGCAGTACGTACTCACTGGGGGTTCAAACTCAGGACCTCCTTGTCACCAGGAGAAATCGTAGGTCAGTTAGCCACTGGGACCCAGTTGCAACATATAATAATTTGTAGTTTTCAGTATGAAGATCAGCGAATGCCATCGCCGAGTATATGTCATTGCACCCGACCTTGTAGACCCTATTGTTCAAGATTTCACATTAGAATTCTGGCTACTACGTTTTGCAGCCAGCCACTAGTGGGCATCAGATCAGTTTCTGGGGATTCAATGTGGCTCAAGGATGATAGTGGTCGCGCAATAGGCAAGAATTGGTGGAAGGTGGAATTCACGGGCTGTTGGACATGGCTTTAGTGGTATGATGATCTACTAGCTTCGCTTGTAACCAAAACGTTCTGGACAAGAGACCTGGTGAGTGAGTACTACTTAAGAGTTCAGAGCTCTGAAGAAACACTGGTACTCAAGCTAATATAAATCTGTAATCAAACCTGAAACAAATCATATCCATACAAGCGAACTCTTGAAAAACAAGATGAATTCTTGGGAAAGGATTTCCACCCTCTTAAAAATATTCTTTCATATTAGTGAGGCAAGATATTGAACTAACTTCTCTTTTATGCTTTCTAAGAATGAAACTACCCTGTATAGTATATATAACTGTCATCTTCAGACTGTCTAGAGTTATACACACGCATACACGGTGAATAATGAGATTTGGTGTCTCCATTTTACAATTCGTTAATCAACAAGTGAATTTCTTGTCGAAAAACAATTTTGTCACGTGTAAATAAACGTCATATATCATATTGTCTGAAAAAGTCTATTTCAAGCGTATAATAAGGTAAATTAGCTATTGCTATCATCATTATTACCCAAATCTGTAATGTACTGAATAAGATATGACACGTATAATATACATCATTTTTTATTTTATTCAAAACCTTTTTCTTGAATAACAAATGAACTCATCCTAGAAAGAGAAAAAATAAAAAAATAAAAAAAAACACCTGAGTTACTTGTCGCTTGAATTAACACCAAATGGATACTAATCCTGTCTCTTTATTTCTTTCTACTTTTCTGTCTTTCTCAGAGTGTGAAAATGAGAAACTATAATTAATTAGATGTTACTCAATTTACCCGTTTTTCTGATGAAAACCTCTCAACTGTCTGTTGGCCAAGAACACGGTAATAAGGGATAAAACACAATTGTCTACTATTATGACTGAGTGTTACTCATTACTGTCTATAAAATTGTCAGTGTATACAGATTGTCAAGCGCTCAGCACACAGACTGTCTACAAACTAAAAAACTCAGGAATTCTATGACGGCAGCATAATAAGTTTACTTATATATGTACGAAACAATTATGCTCATTTGACATGATAAAAGAAAGTATTAATAGCGTATATGTGTGTTAATAACTAAAGTTCTTGTGATTTGAAATTATTTATACTCGCAAAAAAGCTGACAGCAACTGACTAAAATATAATGGCGGTAGACTTTCCAACTCATTATTATTAATATTATTTTCACTTTGTTCAAGTTCATTATTCGGAGATTAATCAGAAGAAATCCCGAGAATCTTAACATGATAAAATTTTATTACAACTAATTTAAAGACAGGAATGATTACATGATACAACTCAAATTTCCTCTAATCTTTCAGTATTGCATTACTTTTGTAACAACCTAAGACAAGGCCCAGGCAACAGATCGTTTATAAAGGAAATCAACACATATTTATAAATTTTCATGTACATTATTATAGACTATTTTAGCAAACAAACACAGTCCTCTGATTGGTTTTTTCTCACAGAAAGTTAACCTTGCATTTTCTTGTGACTGTTTCTTGAATGTCAGATCGTCTATAGGCTAAGTGTATCCGCCCTACGCCAAGTTTTTGTTCTCATTTTTCTCACGACTAATATTGGGGACACAAACACTGACGTAAATTACCGTCTACCAACTTTGGCTAGCAGCCAGCTCTCACCACACTTTGTTTAAAGCTGTGGTTAAATCGATGCTTAACAGGACAGTAATGCTATTTGGTACACTGTGACAGTCAAATATTCTAGGAATCTTACCTTAAATAACATGTTTCGTGCATTCTTAGAAATCTATCATTGTTAGTATATGTTTCATGCAATCATTTTCCCTTTAATTGGAAAAGAAGGAAGGAAACGTGGAGACATGAAGTGTTTTCGCCATGCTTGATAGTGTTGAAATTTAACAGAAGTGTCAGGATTGTCTCTGAGTAGATGGAAATGGAGTAAGATATCCTGTCTTCTAAACAGATGACAACCAAGAGAACACATATGGCTACCATGATGTTACCAACGATATTTCCATATTACATTATATCTAGAAGTTAAGTTCACTTAGTGAATTACTGAAGAATGTTGTGTGAACAAATAAAATTAGAAACCTTTGTGTAATAAATGCAGTGAGAAAATTAACTGCTAAAGGAAATTGTGCCATTGTAGACGGTCAAAGTCATTGCCTTCTCCTCGGTAATAGGATACAGTAGATTCGGTGTTCACAAAGACTGAGCAAGTGACTGGTACAACTTGCCCGCCTGTTTGAATGTCTGTCAGCAGGTACAATAAAGCACAAACAGAAACCGTGATATGAAACTCTTTGATATAAGCTTATGATTTTGCCGTACGACTGCATTCGCTAATCGGTAAACTTAAAATATATATATTTTTTGTAAAATTTATCGTGCTTAGTTATCAGCAGGAAAAATTAGTCTCTTTTAATAATGGCTAAGCGTTGAAATTATCTCGAATCAGATTACAGAACACTCAGCTGAAAGTATGCCTACCCAAGTCCATTATTTAACAGATCTAGCCGTTATTCTTGATTTTATCTTGTAACTAATTTTTGAAGTATGTGATATTTTGTCTAGGAATAATTAAATACTTAGATAAAACGATGTTATTAAATTTAGAACTCATTAAAACATAATTTATAGAGTACTGTTCATGAATCTAGGTGCATAATTCATGTATTTATAGTGAAAATAAAGCTTTTAATAGAACAAGGCGAGTTTTAATCTTAAATATTCCCCATAATATTTGAACAAATATTTACATCATCTTCGTACGTTTATTAAATTCAAGCTTGAATTGGACTAAGTTGTTACAATTC